CTTTTCTCTAACCTGCATTCTCAGAAACTCATAAATATATATATCAAGACATACATATTTATTTTCTCTAGAATAAATACTTATAACTGGGGTCTGGCTTTGGGGAATCACGCACTTTCGATAAACACCGAAGAGCTGATTATAAAACGTGTGTAATTGAGGTTAGTTTTTATCGATACCTGTAGTATTCTGGTGAAATATTAACTGAAAGTTAAGAACTTTGGTTTCAGGAGCTCTCATGAATAAATTTGGATTTGGCTTTGGTAAAGTAAAAGACAGCAGAACCTGCGAGCCATATGAGACCTCAGGGTGAGGTCCTTCAATCTGCCTCAGTGAACTCACACGAGGAAGCTGTTTGGTTGAGGAAGCAGGTGGCAGTTTGTCATTGGTGGCACAATGATTCAGGACTAGTAGTTCAGACCCTGCTTTCTCAGTGATCTTTTCAGTGTAGACATCAGGCTGACTTGGGTTTGAGCTTCACATCTTAATTTTAATAACACAGCTAGAAAAAAAATCGCAACAAAAGAAAGAAATGTAGGAACCTGCATTTGGTAAGTAAGCAGTATAGTCTAGCCACCTTATTATTATCCTAACTACAGTCCTTGCAGTGTGGGTACATTTCTTACAGAAGGAGAAACTGAGGTTTGCAGATGACTTCAGTAGTTTGTCTCCGACCTGACACACTAATCAGCAGGACAAGTATTATATTTGCTGTTATAACCTGTGTGTGTGTGTGTGTGTGTGTGTGTGTTTCCCTCTGAGCTTCAATTATCTTTGCCAGTAGAATTTTCCATCAGCAGTTGGGAATTCACATATGCGGAGGGTTGACTTAAGTTATACATGGATTTTTGACTGGGGGGAGGGGTTTGGCGCCCCTAACCCGCCTGGCTCAAGGGTCAACTGTAATTAGTTAATAAAACTAACAGATTAAAATGAGGTAATATATGTGTATGTAAAATGCCTATTTCTACTACCAATTAGCATACCAGTTCTCAATGAGTATTTTCTGCATGTCTTCTAATTTGCACCTTTTCTTGTTATTACCACATGGTTATGTCAGAAGACTTAAGTTTGGAGAGAGTATGCCATAAACTTATTTCTCCATTGTTATCAAGTAGTAAATGAAATTTATTAAACAAGATCCTATTTTTAGGTAGGAAATACTTAAATCTAAAAGCTAAGTTTATTATCTAGGTAGTTTTATTTCTAGAAGTTTCTAAAACTTTTACATCATGATGCAACATTTATGTAGCATTGTTCCCAACATTTATCTGCCAAGGTAGGGGCTAGTGAGGATGAGCTGGCTGGGTGTAGAGAAGTCAGCCTTGGGTAGCTTTTGGTGTCCATGGACTCTGATGACTATCATCACTTTGTCTGTTTATTTAATAGGTTCCTCATGTATAAATGGGAAAAATAAAAGTTCCATCCACAGATATGCTGATGCTGTAATGATTAAAGGGCTTAGGTTAGTCAGAGCCTGCACATAATTTATTAACACCCAATAAATTTTAGCGATGGTAATAATTGTTAGTGTTTGCAATGATGAACTTGAATAAGGGAGCTTGGCTACGAGTACCCAAAATGACAGTACATTTAATGTTGGTTGCAGTTTAACTTAATTTTCCTGTTACTTGTAAGCTTACAAGCTTGCTACACGTTCTGATAAGAACAAATGTTTTCTGAAAGGTGTAGGCCCTGCATGTTATCTTTTTGCACCCAGGATGGGGGAGACAGATATGCATGGGGACAGGGCAGTGCTGGTAATCAACAGTAGATACCTGACAAAATTTGAATAGCTTTTTAAAAATTTCAACCAGTACAAGCATTCTTCAATGTAAAAGCAGTCCTGCAGACCTCTGACTTGGTATACCAGGCTCTCACCCTGGGAAAGAATTTGCTGTTACCTGTGGCCTGAGTTGGGACAAAATGGAACAAAAGTGAAAGTGCCCTGTCTGTCTCCTGACTTAGAAAAGAGCAGCAAGGAGCACAGCAGGCCCTGTCTGTCTGTGAATGACAAGGGGTGGGCAGACAGGCCTGGGCATCCTGGAGAGCCAGTTTAGAGAGCTGTAATGGGATATGCCGCAGGAGGTAGAGAATGTGCTGAGCTGGTGAGTGTCTCTGTGGCTCTCTGAAAGCAGCAGTTCCTAGATTTCCAGCACTAAATAAAATGAACACTAACTTAACAGTAGGTGATAGGTATAATGGTACAAATGGGGTAGTTGTCTGCCTGGGTCAGTGGTTCTCAAACCTTAACAAGCATCAGAATCACCTGGAGGACTGGTTAAAACAGCTTTCTAGGCCACTCCTCCAGCGTTTCTCCTTCAGTAGCCCTGGAACAGGGCCTGAGAATTTGCATTTCTAATGAGTTCCCAGGGAACTTCAATGCTGGTGGTCTGGGCACCACACTTTGAGAACCACTGTTGTGTAGAGCCGAGCTACAACTGGATCACTGCGAGCCCAGTGAGCATCTGAGTTAAGGTGTGCATAAGGCCTTTTCCATGTCATGGCATACTTAGAAAATGGTAACGTTGTACCGGGTGGGGGAGTAAATGGAAGGGGATTTGGAACCCCAGATGGTGACTGACCGCGGGCTCTGAAGACTAAAGTGTTCCATGCCTGTGGCACACCTGTTGGAGAGCACTGGCCTAAGATACATGAGTATTAAAATACAGTCTACTCCAGGATTTCCTTTTCTAGAGCAGGGAGGCCTTGAATGTGATCACTCACTGAGTATAAAGTTCTCCACCTCACGCCCCCCAAAGCTCTAATAACTCGTTGATTCTTAGGGAGCTTCAGAATTCCTCTTTGTTGGTACATGTTGGTATTTCCCTNAAAATAAATAATAAAATAAAATAAAATAGCACATATATAATGGACGTCATTCTGATCAGTGAACACCGATGTTGATCCTATGTTGTTTCTCTTCCCTCACTGATACTGGGTGTCATCAAGAAAGGATGTTTGTGACTGTGTTTTTGATTCAGTAATTACCTTGAACACCCGCCATGTACACATTTCTTGGCCAGGTACCCTGGGAATACCAAGTCCATGTTCTCATGGATGTTGCAAACTAACAAGGGCGGAAGAGAGTGTACAATAACTCTCCAGAGAGTTGGGGCAAGATGAGAGCGGCAACAGCGTGGGAGGGTGTGTGTGTGAGAAGAAAACGAATGAAAAAGAAGGAATCCAAAAGCGACAAGAGGACGAAATTCCAGACCCGGGAGACTGAGTCGGATACTGAGGAAAATAGACGGCTGGTTACCTCTTCTGGGTTGTGCGGATTTTGATCTAATAGGACTTTTATCTAAAAGTAGGTTTGAAGATTATCGAGAGTACACATAGTCCCTAGCCTTTACATTTGTGTATACTTCTCTTGCTAAGCATTTTGTTTTTAGCTTTTATGCTGTAACAGGAATGTTACTGTTTAGTGTTTCAAAGGGCATTGGAAGAGGGGAGGTGGAAAACTTCCATGGTAAAGATTTATAAAATCAATATCTAATGTAAAATTATGGGACGAAGCCTGCTTTAATGTTTTCTTTTTTTCTAATTTCCTTCACCCTTTAGCTTCCTCCCCCTCTGGTCTCTCTCTACCCCCTCCAATGAACCCACTGCATTCTAAAGGTTTTGTTTGTCACCTCAAAGCAATAAGCATACATCGTACCAGGCAATTTTGGCAGAGTGTCTAGGAACTTGTTTAATTATTGACTCACGGAGAAAGTCACATTTTCCCTCCTTTAGAAGTAGCATTAACATAGTGCACAAAGCCACGTTAACCTGAATAAATACGGAAAGGAGAAATAATTACCACCACCACCAGCTACACATACACTCTCACGCAAGGCTTTAGGAATCTACAAGAAATTAAGTGTGATTAGAAATCTAAGACTTCGACAGCAGTTAGAATTAAGCAGTTCTGATCACACAGGAAAGAAAGGAAACCGCATAGATAAGCTCAAGATTACAGTTTTGGAAAGTTGAAAAGAATAAGAAAAAAGGGCTTCAGGTGTCTTTAGTAGTTGATTTGAATAGCAGAACTGATGTTGGAAAGTCTCAGGTATTTTGTCTTCCTTTCCTTTATCTTTTTGCCCTTCTCCAGCTCTGCTACAGGGCAAAGTTAAGCTTTGCATTTCTGTTAACTCAGAAGTAGGGTACAGTTGCCACAGCTCTAGGTATTTTATTCCGTGGTAGGCTTTGTTTTTAAATTTGTGGCAGAAATATTAATAAGCAAGTAAAAATCTGATGCAGTATTTAATAATTGCATTAGATAAATAAGTGTAATGGTAACCCTTCCATTCCATTCATTCTGCGTGGCTGCAGGATTAATGGAGCAATTGAAAAATAAATCTTTTTTCTTTTTTTTGTAACATCTTTTTTTAAAAATTTATTGGAGAACAGTGTGTTTTTTCCAGGACCCATCAGCTCCAAGTCAAGTCGTTGTTTTCAATCCAGTTGTGTAGAGCGCAGCTCACTGGCCCATGTGGGAATCGAACCGGCAACCTTGGTATTACCAGCACCACGTTCTAACCGAGCTAACCGGCCACCCGAAAAAGAAATCTTAATGAGCCCTTTCATCTATTACAATATAAAGCTTCTTAATGTCTTTGGATTTTAAATTTTTAGCCTTTTTAGTTTCTCATGATATCTTGAAAAGAGAATTGCTATATTGGAGTCTAAAATTACTATTACGAAGCGCTTGTCTCTGAGAGTCTGCTATGTCCATGGAACAGGAAGAACCTGTAGAAAAGAGTCATGACCATTATTTTCCCGACAGCCTTTGATGGCGTGTGTTCCCAGCACAGGTCAGGTAAACACACCTTCCACATCAGCCTGAATTTCCTAACGTGAAATCTTAGATCCATTTTACTTAGCAGGTTTGCAAATGGGCTCCCCTTCTCTAGGAACCTTACAGCCACTTGTGCATGTCAGAGGATCTGAGCTGGTGCCACACTGAACACAGGAACTAGGGGTCTGCTCAGGGCTGAGTGAATGGACCACTTGAGTGCACACACCTACATGTGAATGCCTCCCGGCTCCCTGCTGCTGCTCTCTGTGGTTACAGTGCCCTGGCAAAGGCTTGGAGTGTACCCCGTGGTCACTGAAAAACAGTTCCTCTTTTATTAGGGTGCCTGAAGTGGTTCAGGAGCTTCCAGTGACTTCACCTTTGGATGACTTCAGGCAGCCTCATTACAGCAGCAGTGGTAACTTTGAGACACCTTCAAAAAGGGCTCCTGCAAAGAGAAGAGCAGAAAAGTCAAAGAGACCAGAGCAAGACCACTATGAAACAGACTACACGACGGGCGGCGAGTCCTGCGATGAGCTGGAGGAGGACTGGATCAGGTACCAAGTCTCCCCTATTGCTGGAACCACTTGCATGTCTGATACTAGTGTGGGCCAACCAGGTTTTGGAGGTGTTACCTCCTAAACTGGGGTGGATGGTATAATTCCATTATTTGCCAACCAGGACTGGAGATGGATTTTTGTTATGTTTTTTTCTTAGTACTCTTATAACAAAGATAGGTGTGGAAGGGATATATTTGGCTGTAATCATGTCTTAAAAATATTTTCCTTTTTTTAAAAAGATTTTTATTGGGGAATTGGGGGAAGGGGAACAGACAAGTTGCTATCCTTTTGTTCTTCAGTCTAGTTGTGGAGGACGTTGCTTCACTGGCCNTAGTATTGTTTAATGACTCTTTGTAGTTCTGTTGTGTCTGCCGAACTTCTTTCATTTATTATTTAGTTGGGCTCTCTTTTTTTGATGAGTTTGGCTAAAGGTTTGTCAATTTTGTTTATCGTTTCAAAGAACCAGGTCTTAGTTTCATTGATCTTTTTTTTTTTTTTAATTTCTATTCTATTTATTTCAGCTCTGATCTTAATTATTTCCTTCCTTCTGCTTACTTTGTGTTTTTGTTTGTTTCTTGTGGTAGGCTATGAACTTCCTTCTTAGAACTGCTTTTCTGCATCCGATAAATTTTGAAAAGTAGTGTTTTCATTTTCATTTGTTTCAAGATAGTTTTTGATTTCTGGTGTGTTTTTCTCTTTGACCCATTGGTTGCTTAGTAACCAGTTGTTTAGTCTCCACATATTTGTGGTTTTTCTTTTCTTCCTGTAGTTGATTTCTGGTTCCATGGCCATTATGGTCAGAAAAGATACCTGATATGATTTCAGTCTTCCTCCTTTTTTTTTTTAAAGGTTTTTATTGGGGAATTGGGGAAGGGAAAAAGTGTTGGGGAATTGGGAAAGGGGAACAACCAAGTTGTTGTCCTTCAATCTTAATTGTGGAGAGCATGCTAGCTCAGCTACAAGTCCAGTCACCATCCGGCTGCCCGATGGCAGCTCAGCTCAAGGTCCTGTGTTCAATCTTAGTTGTGTGTGGGCATAGCCCACCATTCCATGTGGGAGTCCCAGTAGGCAACCTTGTTGTTAGGAGCATGTGCTCTCACAAGCTGAGCCATCCTGCCATCTGTTGGCAGCTCAGCGGCAGCTCAGCTCGGGTGCAGCTCACTGGCCCATGTGGGAATCAAACCGGCAACACTGTTGCTCAGAGCTTGCCTTAACCAGCTGAGCCACTCGGCCAACCCCCATCCTTGTTTTTTAATTCTCTCTTTACTGTTCTGATTGGTTCATTTTCACTAGTCTGTCTTTCAGGTTGCTGATCTGTTTTTCTATATTAGCTAATCTGTTGATTCCTTCTACTGTGTTTATTTCAGTTATTGTATTCTTCAGCTTTGCTTGGCTCTTTATTATACATTATACCTTTTTGTTGAAGTTCTCCCTAAGTTTTTCTATTTCACTCTCAAGTTTGGTGAGTATCCTTAACACCATTTTTTGAATTCTTTATGAGATTATTACTTGTCCCCATTGCCTTAGGTTTTTTTCTGGGGATTTTTTTATTCCTTCATTTGAGAGATAGTCTGTCTTTTCATTTTATTTTACTTTCTATATTTGTTTATATGAATTAGGCAAAATAGCTATCTCTTCCAATCTTGACAAAGCGACCTTGTGTAGAAGTGACGTGTGTAAGCTGTGTGTATGGGGTTGTTTTGACAGGCCTGTTGGAGCCAGACAGGTGCTTATGGCCTGCAGGGCAGGAGCAGCTCCAGATAGGGAGGCCAGGTTTGTGTTATGACACTCTGTTGATCCTGCTTTGTTCTGAGCTGAAATGTGCTCCGGGCGGTGTGTCTGGGAATCTGCGTGCAAACCTGCACATATGACAAAGCACACAATAGAGCCCCTACTTCCCTGTCGAGGTGGAAGGGGCCATACACAAGGGCACTCACCAGCACCTCTGATCTTGGAGGGTGCGTGCAACCCTGAAGTGTCCCCACAGCTCCTGGAGAGCAGCAGTTTCCCAGCCTTCTCTATTTGGTCTCTTTTCTCGTTTGTTGTTCAGAAACTGTTCATTCATTCCTCTGTTGTCTCTCAGGAGTAGTTTCTCTCTCTATGTATATTTCAATGTACAATTGAGAGGGGGTAAATCCAGCATTTTCCTGTGCTGCTGCCATTGGGGACCTTCTTAGAAAACGTGCAGCTTTCTAATTTCCTGTCTGAATCTTTAGCACAGTGGTTTCTTTGCCTTCCTAGGGATTTTTAGTCTTGTTTTTGCCTTGTCCTTTCTGTCTATCTTGTACTTTGTAAAATAAGCAGGCTGTGTTTGCATACTTTGTGTTAACCTTGTCCTTTGTAGTCACTCACTTAAGTTTGTATCAAATTGTTGTATTTTAAATGTTTCAAAGTTCTTTTAATTAAATTTGCAGATTTTTTTTCTGTTATGTCCTCAAACCCCAGATCTAATTGGTACTTTTTCTGAATTAAAATACAATCATGCATTGCTGAACAACAAGGATACGTTCTTAGAAATACGTNAACAACAACAACATTGCCTCTGGAGGTGTTAGGAGGGTGGGCGGGGCCTATGTACCTTGAAATTCCCTATTCATACATCATATTCCTCTTTCCCTCCTAGAGTTTTTGGCCTAGTTTTAGCCATCTCTCTGTAAAATACATATTTGCCTAACTTATATCATGGAAGGTTTAAATGAAAACTGAAAAATCCTGAATTCTTGTTTCCCTTTTGAGCAAATCCTTTCATTTCTCCCCTCTGTAAAGTGAAGATATTAGACTGACTTATATCTAAAATTTGAAATTTCATATTGCTGTGAAGTTCTTTTAGTTCTGTGAAACAATTCAGAGTAATTCCTTAATGGATTATGGGTGAATAGCATTACCTTCATATGTAAAGAATAGCTGGTATATTGAGAGATACAAGTGATACAGAGTTTCAGGGCTTTTTTCATGGTTTAATGCATTGCCAGCTTGTACACTAAGCATGCATTTTTATACGTGTACATTTTAATGTCTACTTTTATAATCAAAAGACTTAAAATGAGATATTTCCTTTCCATTTTGGAAAAATAAGGCCAAGACCAAAAAAAACCAAACAAACAAACAAACAAAAATCATACCCCAAAACAGTCTGAAGACTATAGGTGGTAGCAGAAAATAGCCAGCTATCAGTTGGCTGCTCTGCCATTTCAGTGATGACCACACACAAGTACTTTGTGTTCTAGAATACCAGTTTTAAGACATTACACATAAGTATTCCATTATCATGTTGTATATTCAGAATGAGTTTCTATGACTTCAACCTTAAATTTCATAAAAGATTTTTAATGTTATTTCTAAAAATTATGAAGGCATAGTTTATTTGATGTATAAAGTATAATCCTTTTTTTTTTAAGATTTTATTTGGGAATTGGGGAAGGGGAACAGTGTTGGGGAGTTGGGGAAGGGGGACAGCCAAGTTCTTCTCCTTCGATTTTAGTTGTGGTGGGCACAGCCAGCTCAGCTCCAAGTCCAGTCACCATCTGGCTGCCAGTCGGCAGCTTGCGGCCGCTGAGCTCAAGGTGCCGTGTTCAATCTTAGTTGCTGGTGGGCATAGCCCACCATTCCATGCGGGAGTCAAACCAGCAAACTTGTTGTTAAGAGCACGTGCTCTCACCAGCTGAGCCATCCTGCCACCTGTTGGCAGCTCAGTGGCAGATCAGCTCGAGCGCAGCTCACTGGCCCATGTGGGAATCGAACTGGCGACTTTGTCGTCCAGAGCTCGCGCTCTTAACCAACTGAGCCACTCGGCCAGCCCAAGTATACTCCTTCTTAAAAGAAGTTACTTGTACCCCACCTTCCTCTCCCCATAAGCTACAAAAACAAAAGAATGTCATTCGCTACATCCCACCAGCTTTGTTATCTTTAAGGAAGAAACACTGAATTTTATGTTTCCTATGGACGCTTACATAGTGATTTTCTCAATTTTTAGGGAATATCCACCTATCACTTCAGATCAACAAAGACAACTTTATAAGAGAAACTTTGACACTGGCCTACAGGAATACAAGCTCTTACAAGCAGAACTTGATGAGATCAATAAAGAACTCTCTCGTCTGGATAAAGAATTGGATGACTATAGAGAAGAAAGTGAAGAGTACATGGTAAATTAAAACCTGATAATTATATATTACATATAATTTTATTCTGATCTATGGAGATACAGTATCCTTTATACAATGTTGATGCAAATTTTGCTAGTAATTATCAAAATAATTTCATTGAAGAATAATTGAAATTCAGTCTTGGATAAAAGCCTTTCCAAATTGAAGAGGGTACTAATGTAGTTAAGAATTATAAGGCAAACTATATACGTATATCCCTTCCTATTGAAAAGAAAGTAGCTATAGTAGTTTTTCTATTTATATACACAGTTTATTCTTTCTGTAAACAATTCAAAGAATCCAGAATTGCATACAGAAAAATAAATTGCTTTAAATTCTGCCACCTGGTTGTCACCAAAATATTAGTTGCTAAATACCGTTTCTGTGCAGAAGCGCACCTAGACACACACAGTCTTCGATAAGGAATCATCTCATATGTTTTACTATGTCTTTCCTTTTTTCGCTCTAAAATAGTTATGGTCTGTTTTGTGTTTTTTTTTAAATTCTTGATCCTCTGGATGAGGTAGTGATTGTCCGTGCAAAGTTANTTCATTTGTTTTGTTTTTTTAGAGTCCACATATAAGTGAAATTATATGGTATTTGTCTTTCTCTGGCTTATTTCACTTAGCATAATACCCTCTAGGTCCATCCATGTTGTCGCAATGGCAAGATTTCTTTTTATTTTTATGAGTAATATTCCATTGTGTGTGAGAGAGAGAGAGAGAGAGAGAGAGAGAGAGAGAGAGAGAGAGAGTGTGTGTGTGTGTGTGTGTGTGTATACACATATGTACCACATCTTTATCCATTCATCTATCTATGGACACCTAGGTTGCTTTCATATTTTGGCTGTTGTACGTGAATATAGGGGTACATTCATCTTTTCGAATTAGTGCCTTTATTTTCTCTGGATAAATACTCAGAAGTGGTATTGCTAGGTCATATGGCAGCTCTGTTTATACTTTTTAGAAGAATTTCCATACTGTTTTCCATTATGGCTACACCAGTTTACAGTTCCACCAGCAGTGTATAAGGTTTTTCTTTTCTCCACTTCCTTGACAACACTTGCTATTTGTTGATTTTTATAAGTCTTAGCCACTCTCACCGATGTGAGGTGACATCTCATTGAGATTTTGATTTGCATTGCCTTGATGATTTGTGATGTTGAGCATCTTTTCATATACATGTCTGTTTTTTTTTTAAAGATTTTATTGGGGTTATATACATGTCTTTTGGCCATCTGTATATCCTCCTGGGAGAAATGTCTGTTCAGGTCCTCTGCCCATTTTTTAATGGGATTCTTTGTTTTTTTGGTGTTGAGTTGTATGAGTTTCTTACATATTTTTGATATTAATGCCTTACTGGATGTATCGTTTGTGAATATCTTCGCCCATTTAGTAGGTTGTCTTGTTGTTTCATTGATGGTCTCTTAGCTGTGTAAAACCTTTCTTGTTTGATGTAGTCCCATTTGTTATTTTTTCTTTTGTTGTCCATGGATGAAGAGACATCAAAAAAGATGTTACTAAAATCGGTGCCAAAGAGTTTACTGCCTATGTTTTCTTCTAGGAGTTTTATGGCTTCAGGTATTACATTTTAGTCTTTAATTCATTTTGAGTTTATTTTTGTATATGGTGTAAGAAAAGGGTCCAATTTCACTGTTTACATGTACCGGTCCAGTTTTCCCACCACCATTTATTGAAAAGACTGTCATTACCCCTTTGTATATCTTTATCTCCTTTGTTATAGATTAATTGACCATACAAGTAAGGATTTATTTCTGGGCTCTCTATCCCACTGACCTATATCTCTGTTTTTATACCAATACCATAATGTTTTGATTATTGTAGCTTTGTAGTATAGTTTTAAACTGGGGAACATGATACCTCCCACTTTGTTCTTTCTCAGGGTTTCCTTGGCTATTAGGAGTCCTTTGTGGTTTCATGTAAATTTTAGGATTAGTTCTAGTTCTGAGACGAATGCCATTAGTACTATAATAGGGATTGCATTGAACCTGTATATTGCTTTAGGTAGTAAAGTGATTTTAACAATATTCATCATTTCAATCCAGGAACAAGGTATAGCCTTCCATTTATTTGTATCTTCTTCAGTTTCTTTCTTTAGTGTCGTATAGTTTTCAGAGTACAGGTCCTTTACCTCTTTGGTTAAANTTCTTAGAGCTGTTCTCAAGGCAGTTGAAGAAAATTGTTCACCATTTACTGTTTAGAATTAAGCCCAGTTTTTCTCAGGTTCTAAATCTTTAAACAAGTTTTATTTATTATAGATATTAAAATGGGGGTTTTGTTTGTATGTTTTTAAAAGAACTTTAACTAATCATGGAGGTCTGTGGGCTGGCTGGGGATCCTGTCAGTAGTAACAGTGAAGCTCAGAAATCCCTTTTCTCGTCATAGGAAGCCCGGGTTGAGCACTCCTTGTATGAATTCCTAATACCTGGTCGCTCCACTGGGGTCCCCCCTTCCTTTCCACTGTCCTTTCCAAAGCAGCAGGTTTATCCTTAGTTTGTGTTGGTACCGTGAGAAAAAGTAATATTTTAGCTTTTTTCGGGAAAAGTAAGGCATAAAAATGAAAAAAACACCCGAATGGCTCAGTTGGTTAGGAGCTCGCTCAAGAGTTTGAGCTCTGAGCAACAGCGGTTTAATGCCCGGCCTGAGCTGAGTTGCTGCTGAGCTGCCAACCGGTGGCAGGATGGCTCAGCTAAAAAAAAATGAAAGAAAAACAAACAAACAAACAAACAAAAAACCCGTACTCTTTGTTTTACAAATACGTTTTGCCTCTGCCTCTAGACTCTTAAGCTCTTCTTAAGGACATAGGCTGCTTCTTGTTTGTCTTTGAGTCTGTCTGCTGGGATGTTTTTACACTTGATCTTAGCCAAAAGGCCGAGAAGCGATGGGATGTTTTTTACAAATATGAAACCATCATAAATGTGCACATCATCGTTTTGCAGGGGTCATGCTAATAATTAATCCTCCTTGTATTGTTCAAATTTTAGTATATGTTCTGCCAAAGCAAGCACTGCCTTGGGAGTTTTTGTGAGTATGTATAAAAAAAAGCTTCAGTAACCAAAGACCTGTGCTGGAGGGTAAAGTCAATGAACAGGCTGGTCCAGTCCTGCTGACTTTAAGAGATAAAGGTCAGCTCAGAGCAGCTCATTTGATAAGATGTTCAGACACACACAGTGTAGAACTAGAACCGTAATAAATGTGGTAACCTTTAGACAGCAAACTCTGGGTTCCTGCTTTGTGCCAGGTGCTGCGCTGGGCTTGGAGACCCAAAGAGGGAGGTAGGCGACTGCCAGGGAGAGGCGGTGGGTTGTATGTATTAGAGAGGCTTTCTTTCGAGTATTCAAAACCCCACATTCCCATTTACTAGGTGTATGTCCTTGGGAAAGTTGTCTAGCTTTCTGAGCCATAGCTGCTTCATTTCTGAAAAGGGATTCATAGTATTTACCTGGAAGGTTGTGCCTACTAAATGATCTGTTAGTTCAGTATTTGGCACATTGGAAGCAGGCAGACAATGGTGGCTTTAAGAACAGTCCACCACCTACTAAAGTTGGAGATATGGGAGCAGGCCATTATACTGTATGTCAACAATTGTCCCTCAGTGTGTAAATGCTCTGGTGGGAGGTTTGTATGCACAGGTGCTTGGGGAGGTAGGAGGACACTCACCCAGCAGGGACATTTGTGGAAGGCCTCCAGGAGGTAGTGGCATTACTCCTACTTGGCAGTGAGCCAAGACTTGAAGCCCAATTAAGGATTAGTTGGGAAAGAAAGGGGGAAGGACATTCCATTCCAGGCAGTAAGAAGTCTCTACAAGGACACCCAGGCAGCTGTTTTGTAAGGTTTCAGTTTCCGGTTTGCCAGAGGCAAAGGAAATCTAAGAGCTTTGCCACCTCTGCTAAAGTCGTGAGAGGGAAAGAACCTGGAAAAGTATTAAGTGCGTTTTTCAGAAAAGGAAGTCTTTTTAAACTCTGACGAAGTCTCGAGCATAAGAATGGGCCTTTAGCTTGGCAGAGCATTTGCCTGTGCAGCTTGGTGATAGTGTCAAATCCTAAGGAATTCAGTGGGAGCCTAGAATGGCTCCCACCCCAGTCCCCCCTGTGGTGGGATCTAAGCACACTCCCTGGAAACCCACCCACTGGTTTCCCAGTTGCTGCCAAACTCTATAGTTTCGGGAGGAAATGATTCCCATTCCTTTCTGACTCATGGGAATATTAAACAATCAAGAAATGCCTCTGTGTACCTAGAGGGGTGGGTAAATAAATATCTTTGGTATGTGATACTGCGGAGATTAGAAAGGAGCAGGTCTTGTTATAATGCTATGCTTAACTGAAAACAAGATGTAAAGTGTGTGCGTTGCAGGGAAATACACTGTTGATGCTGAACCTAATTGCAAGGATTCATAATAGCAAAATAATCCAGTAAAAAGTCTGTAGTCACATTCAAATACTTATAAAAATCCTTTGTTTAGATCCAATGGCTTCAATTCCAGAATCTCAGCATCTTCTGAGATTTTACTATGTTCGCAAAGGCACTGTGCTAAATGAGATACTGTTGCGGGATACTTGGACAGAAACGGGACACCAAGGCTCAGGGAAGCAACATTTATTGATGCCGGCACCAGCTCAGCAGATTCATATCCAGAGGCTGAGCCCCGATCTGGACAGGACTCGGGCTATATACCCTAAGGTTTCCGGGTTAGTAGTTAAGACTCCTTATTAGGGTATGTGACGCTGTGTTAGTTTCTGACTGGCTCCAGGATGATGTAGGAATTAGGAAATGTTAAACACGGAAGTCTTGATGGTCACGTGGTGTGGGAGAGCCTTTGTCTAGGGCTCCCTGCCACATTCCCCCCTTTGATGCTCGAACCCATGTGTGGGTTAGAGAGCATCATCTCCTTCGATGCGCTGTAGGTCTAGGGATTGGTACTTCCATAACATGAGGACCT